TATTGAACGCGGCACAGTACCTTCGCCAATGAGCACCTGTGTTGTTTGCAACGTTGCCAGGTCCCAACCGTCAGGGACAGGGGCGGGAGATTCCAAATGCACGAGGCGTTATCGAAAGGGACCGGATGCGCTCGCTAATCGCGGGGCATTTCTGAGGGGTGACAAAAAGTTAACGATTTTGGGGGAAAGTTGAAGGTCAGAGTTGGAATTTTCGGAGTGCCCCTGAAATTTTCAAGGTTTGGTGGATTTTAAGGGCGGGTCACACCGCTTTTTTCAAGTACCAGAAGCATTTGATGGGAAATTCCGGCGAGTTTTTTTCCATTTCTTCTAGGCACGAAACATCACGAAATTTTCATTTTTCAATAACATTCATTTTTTGACTAACGGAAGGAATTGAGTAATTTTGAGTTCCATACGGTTGATTTTGCGGAAGGTCATATCGAATGCACAAAAGTATATTTCGATACGAGTGAGATGGAATTTGGACGAGTGTGAAGTTGACGGTCCGAAGCGAAGCCGAGGGCTGCCAATTACACGAGCTGAAAATGCCTGTCTTATATGTGTCGAACAATATTTTTCATCACGCTGTGCGAAAAATTAACTGTTTAGGCACGCTTCGCGTGCTTAAAACGTCCCTTTTCCACACATTGTGATGAAAAATATCGTTCGATACTCGTGAGAAAAGAGTTTTTTGGCTCGTAGGAGGTTTATAGCACGAGCCGAAGGCGAGTGATATAATCCGACGAGCCAAAAAACTCTTTTATGCCTCTAAGGACGGAAAACCGTGATTCTAACCTCGCTTCGCTCGGTTAAATCGCGGTTTTCAGTCCTCGAGGCATAAAATATCGTGTGCCACACGGCAGTAAAAGTATTTTTCTGTACTGCTTCTCACGATTTCTCGTCTGGGAATTGGTATTATATACTTCCCAAACTCGAAAACTTGAAAATCACTACAGAAAAATATATTGTTCCTAGGCTGTTGCGATGGGGTTTTTTACTCGTGTGGCGTTGGCCTCCGAGCCGTAGGCGAGGAGTGGCCAACCACACGAGTAAAAAAATCCCATCGCAACAGGCCGGAAAAATACTATTCCAGAAAATACTTTTACTCCCTAGGGGCACAATTTACTATTCCGCACTCGTTACGAAATATACTATTTTTCGACACTGCTGCTACGTTGACCTCGTGCCGAAAAGTGCCTTTTCGTTTACTCGTAAACGAAACGAGTCAACCAGTAATCGAAAAGGCACTTTTTGGCACGAGGTGAACGTAGCAGCAGTGTCAAAATAGCTATTTTCGTCACAAGGCCGAAAAATACTTTTCTGACGAGTGTGAGCGTTGGAAACCGAGACGAAGCCGAGGAATGCAATCACACAAGTTATAAAAGTTGTTTTCGGCCGAGTGACGAACTAGTATATTACGTCATTAGGCGATAAATAGTATATTTCGTCACTAGGCCGAAAGAAACTTTTCTGGCGAATATGAGTTTGCAGCCCGAGCCGAAGGCGAGGGCTGCAATCATATGAGCTAGAAAAGTTTTTTTTGGCCATATGACGAACAGTATTTTTTGTTATGACGGCCGTAGGCAGAGATTCACGGACGCGGAGCGGAGCGGAGCGTCCGTGAAGCGCTGCCTCACGGCCGGAATGACAAAAAGTATTATCTGGCGAATGTGGCTTTATAATCCGAGCCTTGTTAAGAACAAGAAACACCGACTGTAATGGTTAGGTGGGTGAGGTGTTGCTCCGGCGGACATCCAAGCTAAGCAGCGTTGAGCTGGGTTAGTACTTAGATAGGTGACCGCTTAGGAACACTTCGCTCGCACAAAAATTGCGGGCGGTAGCGGCCTAGTGTCTCCATCTAATCAGTCTGACAGATGGATATATTAGGGCACTGCACAAATCGGCCGGCTGTGCGACTGGGGTTTTACGTGGTTTCCCGTGCAGTCCTAGCTCGAATGGGGCATACCTAAGAGTAAGACGGCCATGATACCGCAGATAACAATGAGAGGAAAGAAAGGAGGGGAGGCAGGCTAGAGGAGAAGTTTCAAATCGAGAATTACTTCGATAAAACCAATGAAATAGAGAATTAAAAAAAAAAAATTAAGAACAAGAAACTACTTTAGCCAAGCAATCATTTTCCGCCAGGCCAGTAATTCTCAAATGGCCATGTCCATCTCCAGATATTACAATTATGTTGAATTATGAGATGATTATGCTGGATATGACCTTGAACAAACACCTTTCATCATTTTTCATTGTTTTTAAATTTGAGATTTTCTTACATAAAATAATTTGGGGTAATTCTAAATGTTAATAATTATAAATGGAGCTCATTTAAGGTCATATGTAGCATAATTATCCCATAATTCAGTATAATTGTAATATTTGAGGCACCTGGACATGACTGATCTAGAGAAATACGCTCCTAAAAAAAATTATGTCATTGGACCCGATAAACCGCGATTCTAACCTTGTTCGTTCAGTTAGATCGCAGTTATCGGGCCCAATGACATAAAATATTGTATGTCACCCGGTGATAAAAGTATTATCTGACTCATGTGATTGCAATCCTTTTTCATACATTGTGATGAAAAATATCGTTCAATACTCATGAGAAAAGTGTTTTTGGCTCGAGGGACCCAAATATATCTATAGCACCCGCTGAGGCGACTGATGACATAATGTACTATCTTCTCCCCAGAAAACAATTAATAGCGAAGTGGAAAAAGGAGATAAGTCAATTTTGACTATTAACGAGTTTTCAATCAATATCTCGGAATCTAAGGGGGATAGGAAAATTTTTGTTATAACCTTTTTTGTGGAGCCGATTGAGTGCTACAATAAATGCAGTTACGAAAATTTCACTATCTCCCTTAGATTCGGAAATATTACTCAAAAACTCAACTGGGAGATAAGTCGACTTATTTCCGTTTACCACTTCACTACTGAATTGCTTGGAAAAAGTAATTTTTAGTCTCACTGTACTGATTGATTATTACATTATTAGATTCAGCAATCCCAAAAAATGTGATGAATTCACAGTACTCACCATTCAGGTTCTTGGCACCAATCCAGATCCGATCAATTAGCCCCTCATGTATAGATATTCCAAATTTTTGGGACCTCTGAAGATGGTTTTGAACCAGGGGAGACTCCTAGACCCCAATGTTCTATACATACTCCTAGACCCCATTGTCCTCCTAGACAATGATGTCACAACTCTGCTTTTCAATTGAAAACAGACATCATCTTTAGAGACATTTGTCATGTTTAGAGACTCTAGCACGTCATTTCTCGACCTGCTCTTTCATTTGAGCCCAAAAAAACATTCATATCTTGTCTGACATTCTGCTACAAACTCGGGTCTACAACTCGGGCCTTTAATTGAAAACCCGAGTTGAAGACCCGAGTTTGTAGCAAAGAT